AGGTAACCTAAGATCTCTGACACAGGTAGGGGTGAGGAGTGGGGAGGAGGAACTAGGTGCAACAGTAGATTAAGGTATGGATGGTAGAGACAGCGAGTGCCTGGGAACCTCACAGTCTTATTTGGTAGAGCTGTAGATCCCATCATGGCAGGTGTTCCTGAGCAGAAGCCCACCGCCCTGGTGGGTCATCATGAGATAAGAGGATTATGGAAACTGAGGGGAGAAAAGCGTGTTCCTCTGAGTTGGGCTTGAAGCATGGAAAAGCTTATTTCCATGATGACACTGGGGGTATTCAGTAAAATACCCTAAGACTGTAAGTCAGACTCAGATCAGCTTCAGCACGTTGCTCTCAGAGTTCGTGGCTACAAAGGACAGAATGGAAGGAGAAGAGGTAGGAGGCTCCTACAGCAGCTGCTATTGTCAAGGCACTGAGGCTGCAGCTGCAGTGAACAGGCAACATGGAAGATGTTGTCAGCAGAGTCAGGGTCACCGCGGTCATACTTGCAAACATGTACTGAGCACCTTCTTCATGCCTGCTGCATGAGGTATCAGGGGTATGCTCTGTCTCGTGGTCTTTTTTTTTTTTAGTTCTACCAGTTTATTGCTACCAACCCACCTCCCTCCACCCTCGTGCACACATGCTCAGTCATGTAACCCCATGGACTGCAGCCCACCAGGCTCCTCTGTCCATGGACTTTTCCAGGCAAGAATACTGGAATGGGTTGCCATTTCCTTCTCCTGCTCTGTCTCATGGTCTTATGGGGAGAAAAAGTAGGAACCAAGAAGCTGCACTGTGAAAGGCACAGCAAGAGCTCTCTGTGGAAATGCTGGAGATGACCTCCTAGTGGATAAGTTGGTTGACCTGGGCCTTGAAAGATGAAAAGGAATTTGCCAGGCTTCTAGGTAAAAAGCAGCATGAGCATACCATCTACTTTCACTCTCTCACCCAAACCCACTAAACTACATTAATGAGTTTTTTATTAAAAATATATGTGTGTATGTGTGTTAGTTGCTCAGTCATGTCTGACTCTTTGCAACCCCATGGATTGTAGCCCTGACAGGTTCCTCTGTCCATGGAATTCTCCAGGCAAAAATCCTGGATGGGTTGTCATTCCCTTTTCCAGGGGATCTTCCCAACCCAGGGACTTGAACCCATGTCTCCTGCATTGAGTCTACCTTTACCATCTAAACCACCAGGAAAGCATATGTGTGTGTGTGTGTGTGTGTGTGTGTGTGTACATATATATCTCCACCAAAATAAATGGGATAATAGAAATGAAAGCAACAGGAAAAACAATATTTTGAAAGCTGGAAAGCAGATGGACAAGTAGAAACTGACTTAACAGACTCAAGGCAGCTTAACCCTAAGACAAGAAACTGAGAACTATCCTTTGAACACCAGAAAATCCCCGAAGGGCACAGGAACTGGCCACCAGATACCTCTGGGACTGGGTATAAAGGGAAAGAAGGAGAAGTTAAAAAGGGTGTGGAAAACAATTAGGTCTCTGGATCTTCTCAACACTCCATATCACTCCTTCTCCAACATGTCCAAAGATGAGGTTTAGTATCTGGAAAAGTAAAACTTTGTCCTGAGAGTAAGCCAGCGCTGTTGAGGGCATGAATTTAAGAAGTATCTATGAAATACATACTCTATCCTGGAAGCCCACCCAACCCTCTAATCTGCAGAGCTTCCAGAAAACTCAGCAAGACACAAGAAGAGTACTCACTGCGGATTCTAGCTACTCCAAGAGAAAGTAACTAAAGAAATTCATTTTGTCAGTTCCCAATTCTAGTGGTGGCCAGGCCACCCTAGAGTGAGGACCCAAGGTTTCAGGCTCCTCCTACTTGCTCAGAACTTCCAATCAGCTTTTTAGTCTCCTACTCGTAATCATTATCTGACAACCAAAGATTCCTAGATATCTGAGGAAGCCCTATAAATAGGAGATGAAGAACCAAAGCAATTAAATAGAAAAAAAGCAAACTGGAAGAAACACAAATTACATAGGAAACTTTTAGAAAACTACCATTACTAGTCTCAGAGAGTTTAGAGAAAATATTACACTCATGAGAAGAACAGAATGCTTTAGAAAACAATTTTTAAAAAACTCTTAGAAATTAAAAACCCAACAAAAGAGTTGAAAGATAATACTGAGGAAATCTCTCAGGAAGAACAAAAAGACAAACAGGTGAAAGGGAAGAAAAGGTAAGAAAATGAGTCTGCGGAGGAGATATACACAGGTGTTCCAGAAAGAAAGGACAGAGAAAGCAGGAGGAGGAAATCGAGATCAAAATAATCTCAAATTTCTTGAACTAAAGGCTGTCAGTTTCCATACTGAAAGCGTCCAAGCATGCCCCTGGATGAAGACACTCGTATCAAGATACACCATTATGAAATATCAAAACACTCTTAAAAGATTCCAGAGAGGAAAACTGGCCTCCTATACAGAATCAGGAATCAAAATGCCCTCCTGCTCTAAACAGTAACACTGGAAGCAAGAGGGCAACCTGCAGCAAAGTCTTCAAAATTCTGAAGGAAAATTATTTTCAACTTAGAATTCTATACCTAGCCAAACTTTCCATCAAGAGGAAAGCAAATAAATAAATAAAGACATTTTCAGACATAAATTGTCTAACATTTATTTACCATATACTCCTCCTAGGAAGCTACCAAAATAAAAATGTAAGTCAAGAAAGGGACAAATGTAGAATACAGATAAACAGGAAGTCCATTACAGGTGAGGTAAAGGGAACCTGCAGGATGATGATGAAGGGAGATCCTAAGATGACAACTGTGTACCAGACACACAGAGCAACCAAGTCACACTGGAACAGGATGACCCAAAGGAGAGAGAGGCTGAGAGCTTGTCATCATAATGCCTCCTGCTGTTGTACCATCTTTGGGACCTGAAGAAGCCACTAGATGTAGCTCAATAAAGCCAGAGAGTAAAACAAGAAAAAGGAAGACATGAGACCCAGGAAACTGAATCAAGCTCAGGAGAAGGGCAAAGGGTATTAGGCCTCAAAGCCCACCAGTTCAAATAGAATAGGGATGTCTCTAAGGAAAGAAGCTGACAGAGGACTGATGGTATCAATCTTGTGGAAAGTTGTTTTAAAAGGCTATTAGAAAGTATAAGAAAAATTAGTCATAGACACCAAATAGCTAATTAAAAGAAAAATTAAAGAACTAACCTTATGAAAAATAGAAGAAAGAAAGAAATATAATCATAGTATACTACAATGTTCAGTTATGACTAATATTGCAGAGACATAATAAACAGTAAATATTTATTAAACAAAAATTATGATATAACTATTATTAGAAGGTAAGTGAGATGAAGCAGAGAAAATAACTGTAAAAGAGCTAATTTCCTCTCTACTACAACAGGAAGACTGGGTAGCATCTAAACTTGAAGACTCAAAAGTTAGCAATATTCACATACTACACCAGCATTACAGAAATGTGTACACACCATAAGAAAGTGCTAAAGGCTGAACACAGTTGCTTCTGAGAAGGCAAACTGATGAGACGGGTGAATGGGTGTATTTTGATAACTGCATTTTTAGGTCAGTTTGAAATCTTAAACTATTAATAATATACTAATTTGATGAAATAAAAATTAAGTTTCGTTAAAAAGGATTAAGGACGTTCTATAAGGAGAAAATAACAGATGCAACAGCATGGTGTCCTGAAAGAGCTGAGTTTTCCTAGAAAATGGCTACTGCCAGAGTAACGCAGCAGATGCAGGCATAAGCAAGCAGCATCAGACACTGCAGAGGGCAACAGCAGCATCTCCTCTTTGCCAACTTCATGGGCTTTGGCAAGTCACCTAACCTATTCTAGTATCCTTCTCTGTAAAATCTGACTAATAATAGCACTGACTTCACTGGGTTTTGTAAGAATTCAACAACAATGGAACCAGATCAATTTTGCAAAATGTGTTGCTCTGTACAAAGGTAGGGGAGGCAAGTGCACCTCTGTGTCCCTGGGAAGTGTTCTCAGTTGGGAGCTCAGAAGGTTCTGGGCAAGGTGAAAACTGCCCAGGGAACCCAATCCTAGAGAAGCTGTTCAGCTGGCTGGGGCAGACATGCTCCCTAGAATCAGGGCATGTCACTGCTAGCATGTCATCAAGGGCATCAATGCTCTTGATTTACTGAAAAAAAAAGGGGGGGGTCTCTTGGAGAGAACCTTGATTAAGATGGCCACAGAGCTGGGAGAGGTAGGCACCCGTAGGCGAGTCCTACAGCCCTGGTGGCGTTAGTGCCATGAAAGCCAGTGCTGGGAGGTGTGGGAGAGGGGCAGTGCCCAGAGCCATCTTCCCAGCCCTCACCCCTTTACCCTCCCCTTCCAAGGAGTATCTCTCTCTTCCTATTCTGCCCACCTGTTGCTTCAAATTCCACTATGGAATTCGGTGAAATGCACATAATGATAACCAATTGCTAACACTTATATGGTACTTACTATATGCCAGGTATTATTCCAAATGTTTTGCATTCATACCATTACAGTCCCCACTTTGCAGATGAGGTACTCAATATCATATAAATGGAAAGGGGACAAGCCAGCATCCTAAGCCAGGCAGCCTGACTTCAGCCAGGGTCTGCATTCAGAATCACTATATATTACTGTTTATCAGGCTTGAGACTCCAAAGTCTCAAACTACTCAACTGTAAAATGGGAATATTTGAGAAGATGGCCTTGAAAACCTCTTTCAGCTAGACAGCTTCTTTCCTTGGAATAAGATTCATCAGTCACATATGCATATCTGAGTGTGAGGGACCTATATGGAAGACAGGCTTTGAAGAACAGCAGGTGTATGTGTGGCTTCAGAGTGGGAGGAGAAAGGGCCCCCGCCCGCATGGAGGAGCTAAACTGGAGAGGAAGCTAAGAAGGCCAAAGCCAACTGGCACAGCCAGCCCCTCTCCAGGCCTGTACCCACAGGCCCCCCAGACCCTGACCTGCGCAGCAGCCCTGGCACAGATCACACAAGCGACCTCATTACCTGTGACGATGCAGGTGAATCTGACGTCGCTGTCCTCGGACACAGCCCGGGACTTGAGTGTGGTCTCAAATAGTGGCTGGGTCTCCTCTGTTAGTTGAGCAATGATGGAGCAGAAGGTGCTCCTAGGAAAGGCAAAAAACTGTTCAGAGCAGCGTTTCTCCTATCTCCACTGCACGATGCCATGGCCTGGAGTGGTCCAAGGTGGCTTATATCTTACCATGTCCATCCAGCATCCTGTGGCCATGGCTCCAGCACCTGGGCATGTCTTTCTTCAAGAGAGCTAGATCTCATGGCCAGAATGGGGGCAGGGAAGTGACGAGGGGCTGAATGGAATCCTGACCCAGACCCATTAAAATGGGTCCCTTCTGACCAGGGACCAGGCTCCTACCCATGCCTGGTCCTGGCATTCCCATTCCATCCTTATTGGGGCGCCTTGCTTCACACTCCACCTTTCATCTCCAGGTAAGCTCGTGCATGGGGGAGACACACACATGGACAGGCCCAGCTTCAGAGATGGAGGTCCCAGCACAGCAGAACCTCCATTCATGCCATGGAGGGAAAGCCGGCTGACCCCAAGGATAACAGGTCCCAGGAGCTCAGGGGTCAGAAGAAAAGCCCCTGCATTTGTGAGGATAGACCCATAGCAGACAAAGAACAAGCTGGCCAATGCCAGGGGTCTAGACCCAATGGCAGCCTCTAGTTCCTAGGAGTATCAGAAAAGAAAGATTCAAATGAATCCTGACCCTACACAGGGCTATGGACCTCCAGTGGAAAGCCAGCCATGGCTCCCTTGCTCCCCGGTGGGTACCACATGCTCAAGTGAATACTGGCAGCTCCAGGACCTACCAGCAGGACTGCCAATCACAAACAGATCCACCCATGCAAGAGTCAGGGCTTTTGGTTCCCTCGTGAAAGTCCATCTCCAAGAACTCAAGAGGCATTTGTGGGCTCACTGAGTTGATCACAGACTCACCAGCATTGCTCAGCATTGACAGTCCTCTCCTGACTGCCCACACGCAGCAAACCACCATGCCAAACCCCTCATGGGCCAGCAGAGACACAATGCATCCCTAGGCGTGACGTGTAACCACATAGCCAGGTTGTGCGGTGCACAAGCCGTGCCCAGCCCTCCTCTTCCCGCCCCCAACCCACACACCCTCTGGTGAGCAGCAGGGAGGGCCGTGAGGGATGACGTGAGGAGAAGCAGGAAGAACTGTTGGGGGGCAGACAGATCAAAGCTGCTTTGCTCTGTGCCTCAGAAGAAGGGGTGGTTGCCCAAGGGCAGTGTGTGTCTGCCTGTGACCTCTCCACAGGGGCAGGTAAGAGTCTGTGGGAACACAAGCAGACAGGAGCTACAGCCCTACTTTGTTGGGAGGGCATCCCCATTCAGCTGACCATCTCTGTGGATGTCATTCCGGACTTGAGTTTGAGGAGAAAGCTTGCATCCCACGAGGAAGGCCTGGAATCAAGTAAGACTTCTGGACTGAGAGGGGTCCAGCTGTCTCTGCACAGGATCGCAGATGCCTGGGCCTCTGGGGAGCTGACAGGAATCCTCTCCCAGAAAGACTACCCAGAAAGAGGATCCCAACTAGGGACTGTGGTGAAGGCTGCCATAACACTCCCTGCCACACTCCCATCTGGAACCTAAGTAACTTATTAGACAGTTTTAAGAACTGTCTTCTTGTAGCTTACTATTGGAAGAAACTACTGTCCTTTCCTTTCTCTTTTAATCCACTCGAAAATAGAGGGTCCTTCAGAATCTAGACCATCAACTCTCTGACACTTGGGAGTTACAACATCTGAAAACATTTCTCACTGCTCTCATACTACCAGCAATTTCTGACTTTGGGGAATACCAACTCCCAACCAGCAGTCTCTAGAGGAAACTGCCCTGCCAAAAGTCATTGGACTTCTATGATTTTGCAACTAATTCAAAACATCCCTAATTATGTCCTCCCTACCTAATTTGAATCCTAACCTACTCATGAATATGAACCTGGCTCTCATACTCAGCCTAGGCTCTTAGGGATGAAGCTGCTTGGGCAAGTCTAAGAAAATAAGCAACTGGGTAAGTGAGGAAAACAGGGAAATCAAGCTTCAAGAAAATTTGCAGCGACAAATGCTCATGCTAGATATTTAACAACAAGGTAGTTATTTCATTATTTTTGTTTTATAAGAAAGAATGCTTATCTTTTCAAAGTTCCAGACTAGGTCCTAACTACATTATAACATTCTTATAATGGAAAATCCTAAGTAACTGCTGAAAAGTATAGCTAGGAAAACACCCTCTAGGAAAGTGGATCCAGGGTGCATTTGGTGGGGACAGAGTCATTGCATATACTATCATATTCTAATAAATTGTCACCAGCTTTCTGTTCCTATTTTCCAAACCACTCAGACGTGAGAGGGACTCCAAGTCTGCTGCTTCCAGTCTCCTGGGAAGCCAGGAAGTCCACACACCTGGAAATGGTCTAGTCCTACCCTGACACCTCCAAGTCCTTCCAACTCCGTGAATTCATAAGAATATCATAGCCTAATCATGTGTCTCTATAGAACTCCAAAATCATCACTGGTTTTCAACATCTTCAAAGGAACCTAATCCTGCCCATAGGTTTGGTATTTACCTTACTTTAAATAAACTTCCTAACTCTCTTTTAGCACTACACTCCGCTTTGAATGAGCTGAAAACCCTGTTTTCTGCCCCTTCAGTATCCACCCCATCAGAGGAAACAACATAGTAGCTACTGACCATCCCTGTAAACATTATTAGCTATTCAGAAACCAGTTAGTTATGCAGAAATCTTTCTCTGTGTGAAGAAACTATGGCCAACTTTTTCCTAGATCTACCAGAGTCTGGGAGGAGGCCCAAGTGTGGGAAGTAGCCAGGAAACGTTCCCATTTTGATCACAATTGTCAGTTCAGCGAGGAGTGGAGAGCTGTCTCCAGTTAAGGAGGTAAGAGGACAGTCGTTCAACAGGCAAACTCTGACTGCGGGCCTGCTGGGGCCCTGCTCTGTCTCTGAAGTGGATTCGGAGAACAAGTTAATACAGAAAGACACTCATGATAGCCCTGACCTCACAGAGCTCACAGTCTGCAGGATGGAGAGAAGTAAAAGGAGAGGGAAATTCAGAGAAGGAGACAACAGAAGGAGAACTTAAGGGACTGAGGAAAACGAAATTTTTTTTAAGAAAGTAGCCATGGTTAGAAGACAGACAATAAGATGTCAAACCTAGATATGTGGTTACAAAAACCATGAAAACCTAGGCTGAGAGGGAAACAGGTCACGTAACTGGAGGCTCTCTGCTCTGGTCCCACAGTGCCTATCCCAGGGGCACAGAGATAGAGTTGCAGGCATCTTGGGAACCCCTGCCTATCTCTGGGTCCCGGCACCCCTTTCCAATGGTCCATGCAAGCATCACCTCTGGCCCCCGTGAGATCCATGCTCACTGAGTGCCCGCTCACACCCTCCCCAACCACCCTCTCTGCTCCCCTCACCCCATGCAGCTTGGTTATTAGTGCACAAGCAGTCACCCAGAGGCCCCTCAGTGCCCAGACCCAAGAGAAAAAAAAAAACAGAGAAATGTAATGCAATGGTGCGTTTACCTTCCAGAGCTGGGGTGAGACAACCGGTTGCTTGATAAGCTAAGCAAAAACAGCAAACGGAATCATTAGGCCAAAAAAGCAAAGAGAGGAGGAGGTGAAATCAACAACAGTAGGCAAAGTATTAATCGGCCACCATCTGGGGCCCAAGGGCCTTTCTATTAAAAGGGACCAGCTGTCTTACTTGGCCGGCTCCAGTTAGCAAGTGGCCTCACCACCGGACACCCATGTATCTGAAACCAAGAACTTGTTAAGTGTAGCAGGGTCCAGGGAAATGGTTAGGCAGGAGGGAGGCCCCTCGGGGCTGAGCTTTAAGAAAGGTGTGTCCTGGGTCCTTGAGTTACTCATAGCTGCCTGGCTATCTCCCCACTTCTGCAGCACACCAGCCTGGGGCGGGGGAGGGGAGGCGCTGGCAGCTCCTGCTTCAACCCTCGGCCTTTTTGAGGAGAAGAGCCCCCAGTTCCTGCAAATCCCCTCAGAGGCTGGGAAGGAGACAGGTGGCTTGGAGAACACCCATTAATATGTTAAAGTATGGTTAAAGAGGCCACGCAAGGCAAACCAGCTGGGAGAGTCAAGAAGAGAAGGAAAACAAAGCGGTTAATTCAGCAGGAGCCAGGAGGCACCCAGTTGGGTCAGACCAGCACAAGGCCCATGACGCTGATCACCCCTCCTGCCCCAGGACAGCTGAGAGCTGAAACCAGCTGGGGGCTGGGTAGGCCACTGCAGGGTGAGGATCACACAGAGCTGCCCCTCAGTGGAGATCCAGTGGGTAGGAGCCAACTTTCACCTCCGCCTCCACTCCTTCCAACACAAGTATCTCCAGAGGGGTCCAGGGATAGAGTTCTCTGGGAGATCTCAGGCCCCCGCCCCTCCCAACTACACTCACTCCCTTCAGCTGTCCCCACCGTGAGAACAGCTCTCCTTTCGTTATCAACAGCCCAATCTGCTCAATGGAACTCTCAGTCTGCATCTCTAACCACTGACAACCTGCATCTGTATAACAACAACAACAAAAATTCATCTTCTGCTCCCAAATATGGCTTCCACTTCTGTGTGCCTGGATTTATGGATACCACTAGGGAAGTACATCCTTCAGACCCAAAGAGCCCTACCCCCAGAGAAGCTGCTGCTCCAGAATGCAGCTGCCTTTGTTCAGAACTTTAAAAATCCTCCAGAGGCCGTGAGGGCAGACGTCCCACAGTTTTAAGGCACTGGCCAACTCCATCCTTTCCTTATCATGGACTTCCTTTGCCCTTCTCCTTAGAATGGAGAGATTTCTCCTTTGCTGGGTCTGGATTCTTCCCTGGGAAGGGGACAGGGAGAATCAGCTCTCTAATTCACATGAAATGACAGCTTCCACCTGCAAGTGGGCAGGGGACTCAGCTGTGACAGTGACCCCTCCCTGGCTCTCTCCAGGGCTAGAGTTCCCCAGCCTCATCCTGCTTTCTCTGGGCCTCACCCTTAGTTAATCAGCCATGTCAGGAGGAGTCCCAGGCAATGAAGGCACCTTCTCTTCAAAAGGTGCCTGTGACCTGCTAGCTGGGCCAGAGGTTGGCTCAGGGCTTTCACCCAGAAACTCCCCAATTACTGACTGTGAGGGGGTCTGAATCAGAGGCATTAAATGTTGGGATGTTGTTGTTTAGTCGCTCAGTCGTGTCTGACTTTTGCAACCTCATGGACTGTAGCCTACCAGGGACTTTTATCCATAGGATTTCCCAGGCAACAACACTGGAGTAGGTTGCCATTTCCTACTCCAGGGGATCTTCCCAATCCAGGGGTGGAACCTGCATCTCCTGCATCTCTTGCATTGGCAGGTGGATTCTTTACCACTGAGCCACTAGGGAAGCTCAGTGATGGGATAAGTAGGCCTAAAAACATTCTTAGTGATACTTTCATTTTATAGAATAGAAATTCAGGGCCCACAAAGGAAAAGTCTCTTCATAAAGGAGAAAAGTAGGCCTAGGAGGTGGGGGGGTGGTGGCAGGAGGGTGGGGGAACCAGGACTGTCCCTGGAAGCTGAGGCCCCCCATTCTTCCTGGCTTTCATATATTCTGGGACACAAAAGGCCTTCAGAAAGTCCTGGCCTGATGCCTCAGTTTTCCTGAGAGCCCTAGACAATCTGCTTTATCCAAGCTGAACAGAAGAGATGCCACAAAACTACAGCTCTACTGCTCACCTGCTCTACTGCTCCTCTGGGCCCACTTGGGCCAGGGCATCCAAGAAATGAGGAGACAGAGATTTCTGGAACATCTCAATGTCCCTCAAAATCCAGTTATAACTGCAAACACCTGACTCTGGTTCCTTAACCTTCTCTAGCTCATCCAGGCTCCATCTTCCCATAAAAGTGAGGTTGGATCTATAGGAAGTTGGGGCAACAGTTTGTGGGGGTTACTTGCATGTTGGACCTCTCACTCCTGAGCTAACTATGGATAGGAAATCCGCCCAGGGTTGGAGAAAGGAAAGGAATGCACAGGAAGACAAGTTCTAGACTTGGGCCATAGCTTCTGGTACCTGGCTCCCAGCGCAGCTGTTCATCAGTTCACAGGGGCAGCCCACCCTCCCAAGGCTCACAGAATGATGACTCACAAGCTCCATGATAGATATGTATGGAAGTAGACCCAGGAAAGGTTGAAGTCAGGAGTGCATGGGCCAGAATTTGCCTCTCAGTCAGAATTCTGGGAGAGTCAGGGCTCAGGAGCCAGGGTTAGCTGACGAAGCCCTCAAGGGACCCTCTTTCTTCATCTCTTGGCCCCTCTTCCCATCCACACAGGCATTCAGGTTGCTCTGAGACAGAAGGCTGTACAGTTACCTGCTCTAACACAAGAGTCAGGTCTTGACAGGGAACTATGAACTGGCCCCTGCCCCACCTCAAGTCCCCAAAAGCCCCATTCACTGTCAGTCTCCCCTCCTTGGCCAGAGGCTTTTCCAGAGGTGAGAGAAACCTGGCCTTCCTGGTGCCTCAGGACCTGGCTGGTCTGTGGCCACCTGGAAGGGGCAAGCCCACAGGCCACAGTCTTGGGATAGAAAACCCTCTCTCCCAATGTTCCAGCCCTGCCTCTCCAAGCACTTGATGAAAAGAATCTCCATTTAAGACCATTCTCACTTAGGCCCAAAGGGACCTAAACCAGACACTTCTAACCCACCTGCAGTTCTCAGGCTGACATACTGCTCAACAGATGTGTAACTGTATCTACCATACAACTGCTCACCCTTTTTCCTAACAGCCCCATTCCCCTGACCTCCCAGTTATGTCTGGTTTGCAAGCCACCTCAACGTTGTCTCTGAGAAGGGCCCTGCATCCCTCTTCTGCTGTACCACTGGTACTGACAAAGGCCAGACACAGGAGGAGGAGGCAAAGCCCAGACACAATCTCGGTTACAAGTGTGAGACAATTGTTGAGGCTCCCACAGGGCAGTCAGCTTCACCACGGACTGGATAAATACACACATTTCATTCCAGTTTTTCCACAGATCCAGTGGTTAGAGGAAGGGGCATGCTTTCTTGGCAGCCAGGGGCCTTGGCGAGTCTGACTCAGTCACTAACATCAGCCCTCCGCCCTGCCCCAGACATGTGACACCATTTGACGAGTTTTATGCAGAAACCGGTTCTGGTTACATTTGAACTTTTCCAACTCCAAGGTCAACAGAACTCAGCCAATCCACGAGGAAGTGCTTGGGACTTTTCCTGAATGTCCTTGATGTCTGTTTTTGTGCCATTTTAAGAATGGAGAACAAGAGGTCCCCAGGCAGCTTCTCAGAGGAGGGGCTGTTTTCCGTATATAACCTATGATTAGCCAAGTTCTGGGGCAGTGACACAACCACTCACCCACTAGCCATCCATCCCAATTCCCTTTGGAATAGACTCCAGAGTTGGAGGAAGTGTCCATCTTCATGGTAATGCATGTGTCTCTGTGTGTCTGTGTTCCTTTGAGGGCCAAGAGACTAGCTCAGTCATGTCCGACTCTTTGCGACCCTATGTAGCCTGCCAGGCTCCTCTTTCCACAGGATTTTCCAGGCAAGAATCTTGGAGTAGGTTGCCGTTTCCTACTCCAGAAGATCTTCCCAACCCAGGGATAGAACCCCTGTCTCCAGCATTGCAGGCAGATATTTTACTGTCTGAGCCACCAGGGAAGCCCCTGAGGGCCAAAATGCCAACTATTGTCTTATGAGTCTTTCCACATGTGGGTAGCCTAGCTCCTAAAACAAAGCAACCATACCTCTTCAACCCTTGGAAGAGGATAATTCTGGCTCCTTCCCTTGGCATCCTGAGGATGGCACCCATCCCCCCAAACCTGGCAGGGCGACCTGCGGCCACAGAGCCTGGAGCTCTGAATCTTCAGGCAGACTGACCAGCATTTCAGGCCACCCTTTCACTTCACCAGCCCCCACCAAGATCCCAGGAAGACCAGGGTCCAGAGGAAGCACCTTCTTTGCAGTTTATTTCTTCCCAGTGACTCCTGAACTAAACAGCCCCCCTCAGGGCAATGCCTCTGGCATCCCACTCCCGAGAATGTTCTCCCCCTCCCCCCAGCCAGCAGGAATGTCAGCCCGACTGGCTTTCCTTATCTCGGGCTGTGGAATCCGAGGCCAGGGAGTAGCTGAGCGTGGGGCGAGGGTACGGAGGGGCGGGAGTGACGTGGGGAGATAAGGAGCCACTCGGGACCCTGGAAATCACCCCAAAGTAGGCCTTCCTCGTCCCCAGGGCCTCGCATGGCCTGAGGCCTGAGGCTCACGGAGCTGGCAGAGGCCAGGAGCACCCTGAAGGGCCTTCAGGGCCGGTCTGGCGGCACCATGTCCTCCACAGGCCGGGCGGGAACCCTCCTGAGGCCTCGCTCGCCGACGGGCCGCCGGCCCGGCCCCCAGAGCACGACTCACCTGGTCTCGGGCCGCACGCTGAGCAGGTAGCTGCGGCTGGCGGGGCTGGGGATCCACACGGGTCCGTCGTCCTCGCCGTTGCCCCCCGCCTCAGACCGTCCGCCCGAGCCCCAACCGCGGCCGGGGGCCCTCCGCGACCCCATGCTGCTCCCGGCCCTGCCCGCCTCCAGCCCCTGCCCGCGCTCCTGGCCCCTGCCCGTCAGGCCCGCGCCGCCGGCCGCCTCTCTCGCCCGCCGCTGACGCGCGCCCCTATTTATAGCCCCGGGCCCGGCAGTCATCACCTGCTGCTGTCCCTCCCCCGGCCCGGGCTGGCCACCGCAGCCTCCGAGGCGCCGGAGGGCGCCGGGCCGCGAGGGGCCCCGCCAGGCCCTGACTGAGGGGCCCACTCGGGGGCGTCGGCTCCTTCCCTTAGCCGACCGCCCGACGTGTGTGTAGCGCCCTCTTGGCGCCCGCAGCCACCTCAGGCGTCGGGGTCAGGGGTCAAGCGGCCTCAGGGAGCGAGAGCGGAAAGGGGGCGGGGCGTGGTTCTAGAAGGGGACGGAGCGTGTGCCCCTCACCTTCCTCACCGGGTCTCTGGGACCCAGGCTTCCCGCCAGCCTTCCTTCCCCACTCGCCCCCGTTTTGCAGGTGTGGAAGGTCAGGCTCTGTGGCCTTTGCCTAGTGGAAGGTGCGGGAGGACCAGAGGAGCTGCGTCGGGTGCAGGGGGCAAAGCCCTGAAAGACCAAAGATGGCCGGGGTCGGGGCTGGAAGAGGCAGTGAGGGGGAGGGGAGGGAGGCTCGGAACCTGGACTGAATCCAGCGGGAGCCCAGGGAGCCCAGGACCCATCCCTCTTCCTGACGGCAGCCCTGACTGACCCTGGCCTTCCAGCGGCTGTTGGCCCAACACTTAGACCCACACCCCCATACCTACATAAGTAACCTCAGTTCCGAGGAGGCCAGAACTCCTCAGAATGTTCCTCTCCATTATCTAGTGTAGATTAGGGGTTCGGTAAACATCTCTAGAATTATTGAACCACCTCCTTCACCCTGTTCAGCCCCAGGGGTAAGTGGGCTGAGTCCTAATGCCCCAAAAAACAATATAATCATTCGACAATTTCTTAGATCAAAATCCTAAGTACTGTCTAATTCTGGTTGTAAAAGTGGAAGTGACCACAGTCTGTGTGTGTGTTAAGTCACTGAGTCGTGTCTGACTCTGTACCCGCCCTGGGCTAATGAACTGTAGCCCACCAGGCTCCTGGGTCCAAGGGATTCTCCAGGCAAGAATACTGACAAGGAGATTACCCCTCCCTAAAGGGCTCTTCCCACCCCAGGGATCGGACCTGGGTCTCCTGCATTGCAGGCAAATTCTTTACCATCTGAACCACCGGGAAGCCCTGTTTACCCATCCTTTCTTCTCCTACCCCGTTAAAAGCATCCAGAAAGTACCTGAGCGGATGGTTATAGCCATTAGAAAATTGGAACAAAGGAGTAGAAACCCTCTGTTCTGTAAACTGCACTCACATCCTTACTCCTTTTGGAAATGGCTCTTCTTTCACTGTGTGCTTCCAATGGCAACTATCTTGATCCTACACGCTCCCTCCCCAACTCCCTGAAACCTCCCTCTGACTCAAGCCAGTCTATTCATGGTACCCAGGGGCCCTGATGATGGGAAAGATTGAGGGCAAGAGGAGAAGGGGGTGACAGAGGATGAGATGGTTGCATGGCATCCATGACTCAGTGAATGTGAATCTGAGCAAACTCCAGGAGTGAAGGACAGGGAAGTCAAGCGTGCTGACATGACTAGAAGTAAGCATCAGACCCAAGCTGTGCCAACCAAGGTTCTTTACCAAAATGTTTTCAACTGGAATTGGGAAAGAAAACCTGGACCTCCATGGTGGTTAGCTGAAAGCTGCAAGGTCCCAGCTTTTAGTAGCGATGTTTCTTGCTGTGTTGAGAAGCCAGTCTGCAGTGAGGAAGGAGGAAGCTGACACAGAGAGAAGCAAAGGCAGGGGGCAGAGTCCTGCTGCCTTCCAGGTGCCTTGTTGCAAGTGTTCCTGAGTCGCAGCTTTATCCGTGGCCTTCCTGCAGGTTGGCAGTTCAGCCATTTCCTGGAAACTGTATCCAAAAATTCTCTCACTTTGCTCAAGCTGATTCAAGTTAGGTTTCTATTAGTGGAGTCTAAGAGTCTTAGCCAATACTGAAGACTTTCCTTTTAATGAGCCTGAACTTGCCAAATTTGCCTACACACACCCATGCAACCGTCTTTCTGGTTTCCTGGAGGTAGGCATATTAAAATCTCTTCAGTTGTCTACAGGACAGTCCTTCACATATTTGAAAGTCTGCTTGGAATTTTGGTTCATTTGTTTAAGTTCATCTGGCTTCCCAGATGGCACTAGTGATAAAGAACCTGTCTGCCAATGCAGGAGACTCAAGAGACTCAGGTTCAATCCCTTGGTTGGAAAGATCCCCTGGAGAAGCACATGACAACCCACTCAAGTATTCTTGCCTGGAGAACCCTATGGATAGAGGAGCCTGGCGGGCTACAGTCTGTGGGGTCACAAAGAGTCAGGCACAACTGAAGTGACTAAGCATGCACCCATGTATCAGGCTGGAGCACATATGCTAGAGGCAAGGGTCACAGGATCTGTACCTTCAAGAATGTTATGGTCTAACAGGGAGAGAGGAATAGAAGCAAAATACACTGCAAGATGAAATGTACAATTATAAAGCTATGTATAGGGAAGCACAAAGTATAGAAGAAAGAGTAGTTGGCTCTGCCTGGGGATTTGGCTAGGGTAGTTTTCAAAGAAGAAAGTAAAGCTGAAGAAGGATTTTGGAAAGGGCATAGGCGCTCACAAATAGACTGTTGTGGGTGGAGGGTAGGGTAGAATATACCAGATGGAGAGACTAGTATGCACTAAGATAAGGAGGTATGAAACAGCTCAGTATTCACGTCACTCAAGTGTAAAGGATTTGGGCAAATAGAGAAGTGGGGACTTCCCTGGTGGTCTAGGGGTTACAGTGGTTACAAACTTATGATTCTAGTGCAGGGGTCATGAGTTCAATCCCTGGGCAGGGAAGTTCTGTATGCCTCGTGGCGTGGCCAAAAAATAAATACACATTTTAAAAAACTGAAAAAATAGAGAAGTGACTTAGGCAGGAACCCTCATTGTGAAGGCCTTGCCTAGTCCAGTGAGGAACCTGGACTTACCTTTCAGACCGTTTCTCTTCCGACAATGGAATATGGTGCCACTAGTTACCCCAGTGAGTCTCCAGTTTATCCATTTCCTTTTGAAAATGTTACACACACACCCCCACAGAGGTCAAACCAGAGCAGCCCACAACTGAATTAGCACTTCTCTGGGTCTGGGCATCACACAGTTAGCAACAACTTTTTGGGCAGTCAAATTATTCCAAATTATTTCAAAGCCTATAAATTTTCAACACAAACCTCTGTTCATCTAAGTCTTTCCCACTCCTACTTTACCTACTTGTAAAGTCTTTTTTTATCCTAAGTGTGAACTTTCACTTTTAAGTTAAATCTCATTTTCCTAATCTCACATTCCCTTTCCTTCTTACCTGAATCTTTTTTGAATTCTGCTCCTGTCATTCACTGTATAATCTGTTCTTCTCAGCTTCTTACTATCTGCCAATTTAATGATGATCAGAGCACAGCTGAGTAAGGAGGGTCAAGGCATTCAAGGACGGAGAGATGGAAAAGGCACACTCTCTTTCCTGGATTTATAGTCTAGCAGGAGAAAGAGGATATATAAATTGGTGTTTAACAAGAACTAGGCCAAAAGTCCAAAGACTTGGGTTATAGTTCTGCCTTTCCACTGAGTGCTGTGTGACCTTGGGCAGGTGGCTCACCATTTCTGAACTTTATCTCTCTCCTTTGTTAAGAGGAGTGAGGTCATGATCCTTTATGATCCTGAAGGTCATAGCTGTTGATCCAATAAGAATTTATTAAGTCACAGCTGACTACAACATGCCAGGCATTATGGCAGGTATTGAGTGTGTTATAGTCTCTATCCTTGAGAACTTCTCAAGCCTGAAAGAAAGACAGATAATTAAAACAGAATCGCCATCAATCCTCTGACAGAGGTTTGTGCAGAAGAGCACATGCTGTGGCTCTGTGTTTGGAAATAACCATGATACAAGGCAGTCAGTGTTTGCTATTAAATACAAGCACTGACGAAGCATGGTAGGAGCTGGTACTGGTGCCAGGATCCACTCGCCCAATTGTTTTGAACTTCCTGGGGCCCCCAAGTAAACTGGGTGCCTGTGGTAGGAAAATCTTGGGCTACTGTTAATTATCATCCTTGTAGTTTTTCAGGCACTAAGTGGTGTCTGACTTTGTGACCCCAAGGACTGCAGCCAGGCTTCCCTGTCCTTCAGTGTCTCCCTCAGTTTGCTCAAACTCATGTCCATTGAGTCAGTGATGCCATCCAACCATCTCATTCTCTGTCACCCCCTTCTCCTTCTGCCATCAATCTTTCCCAGCTTCAGGGTCTCTTGTAAAGAGTTGGTTCTTTGCATCAGGTAGCCAAGGTATTGCAGCTTCAGTATGAGTCCTTCCAGTGAATATTCAGGGTTGATTTCCTTTAGGATTGACTGCTTTGGTCTCCTTGCAATCCAAGGGACACCGTAGGTGACCTTATGAAGTATCATTTGCTTCCCAGACCTGTTGCAAACTCCCCAGATGTTTTCAAAGCTCCCTAGACCTGTGACCCATCTCAGTGCAAATCATTAGTAGCACTGTAAGTTAATCAAACATATGTCTATCCGAACCCACCCCCAACACCTCCAGTTTCCTATTTTTCCTTCTCTTGATTCCACTCATTTTAAAGTTCTCAGTCCTGAGCTCAACAAAAGCCCTAGATTTCTGCTGACCCTGCCTTCTTCTGGGAAACTTCTGGCTTCTGCTGCAATCAAGCTGCCCTCCCTGCCAGCCAATCTGTGGTGCTCTGGACTGCTCATCTGATCTCCTTCCAAGAGCTCCCCAGGCTCATGCTCAAGACAGCTGAGTCCCTAATCCTGAGGGTAGAGACTCTAGCGCTGCTGCTCTGGGATGAGCTGGCCACTCTGGCACTCCAGGGATGGAGATGTGGCCACAGCTGTGCTGGGGTAAGTGGACACCAATTAAAGGATCACTGGCAACAAG